GTCCTCCCCTCTACGCTTACTTCAAATGATCTGTGCGATGCCTGGAGATGCCTACATGGCACTGAGAGGGATTATACCTTTTTTTTCCTTTTCACAAAACTCATATATAGAATAGATAGCTTCCTTGTGGATAAGCATACTCTCCAACAGATCTCAAAAGCAGAGATAGGTTTGATCAGTTGGTCTGATCACGCCCCGGTCTCTATTCACTTATTCCCCGACTCACATCCTGGGACCTCTAGTATATGGAGACTGAACACTAGTCTGTTATCTATAGGGAAACACCAGGGGTCTATCAGGTCTGAATTAGCTGCATTTTTTGAAACCAATGTTTCATCTGTAACTAGTCCAATTACTGTGTGGAATGCACATAAAGCCTTTGTAAGGGGTATTCTGATTAAAATAGGGGCTCATGAGAAAAAGAAACAAAATGGGGCAATAGTTTCTATCCTTTCCCTTTCGGGTTCTGGAATGTAGAAACAAAGCGAATCCCTTACCCACAGTCACACAAGATATACGTTCCCTGAGACAGGAACTCAGCCTACTCCTAACTAACCAACATGACTTTATGATTAAAAGACTAAAACTTAATTATTATAGCCAGGGTAATAAAGCAGGGGCTTTTATAGCTAAGCAATTTAAACGTAGAAACGAGTCCCAGAGAATATCGTACCTGACAGATAACTCTGCAATGCATTTGTCAAATCCTTTAGATATAGCTTTGCCAAATTTTACTCCACATTATATAATTTACAGGGCTCATCTGATGCCCCTAGTCCCACCTTAGAGGACATAAATACATTTTTGGACTCAGTGCAACACCCCTTACTTCCCTCTGATTTCTCGAATGCCATCTCTAAGCCCTTATTGATATCGGAGGTCACCAAGGTTATCTATGACCTACCTTTGCACAAAGCTCCAGGACCTGATGGTTTCAGTGCGGAATACTACAAACTATTTACCACTACACTGGCCCCACATCTGTGCCAGTTAGGGAATGAGGCTGCTACTTCTGGTCAGCTCCCTAAGGAGTCTTTGGAAGCGCTTATAGTGACTATCCCCAAATCTAATAAGCCTGCTGACAATCCAGCTAACTATAGACCCATCTCGCTTTTGAACACAGACCTAAAAATGTATGCCAAATTAATAGCTCATAGACTAATGCATATTATTCCGCACCTTGTCCACCCAGACCAAGTGGGGTTTGTGCTTGGTAGACAAGCACCGGATGGTACTAGGAGACTTATAGATCTCCTCCAATATGCTGAACATTCAAACTTGCCTTCTCTGTTTCTATCTTTAGACGCAGAGAAGGCTTTTGATGGGGTGCACTGGGGATACCTCAGAGCCGTCTTACGCAAATTCGGGATCACTGACTTTCTGGGTTCGGCGATTGGAGCTCTCTACACTACCCCTAGTGCCAGAGTGATGACCTCAGGGCTCAGGGCCAATCCTCAGAGGTCAATGGCATACAAATTGATAACTGCACACATAAGATTGGATTATACGCTGATGATGATATCCTTTTTTTGACCTTTACAATCACTCCTGGCGGTGCAACAAATACTTTGCTGGTTCGGCGAAGTCTCCATGTACAAAATTAACCACGCCAAATCCCAAATGTTACTAATTAGTGCTTCACCTAAATGTAAGCGTAATATCACATCCATCTGTCCTTTCTCATGGGCTCCTTCTGACTCCTTTACTTACCTAGGGGTACAGGTTACCTCACCTAGCACAAAATTGTTTCTTCTAAATTACTCCCCTCTCCTGCATAAAGTCAAGGAGCTTTGTAAAAACCTATGCCATCCCCCTGTCTCATGGGCGGGTAAAGTAAATCTGGTTAAAATGTTTGTACTCCCTCACATATTATACTTATTTAGAGCAATGCCAATTCCAATACCGTCAAGTATTCTGGACTCCTTTATCTGGTCAGGTAAGAAGGCCAGAATCCAGAAAAGCATCTTATACACACCTAAATCCTTTGCAGGTTTGGGAGCCCCGGACATCACAAAATATTATAAGGCCACAATATTAGACCAGACCCGACATTGGTGGTCCCCCCAAATCTGATAGAATATGGAATCGCATGGAATCAGCAATAATCTCTTCTGACCTAAACCTGCTGCTGCACACTACGCTTCTCAACCACACACCACCTAAACACTACCTAGATACAGTTACAGTTACTATGAGGGTGTGGACATTTTTAAGCCTCACCCCTTCCACAAGCACTTGGAAATGTCCATGTGACATACCATTGGATACTCTGGATTATGTTCTTATTGACCTGGGCATTTCCAAATGAAAGGCATGTGGTATCACACACCTGGGTCAATTATTCTCGACGAGTTGTTGAAATCATTTTACACTCTATGCCAACAATTTAATGTTCCTGTCAGAGACTTCTACAAATATCTTAGATTTAGACATTTCCTGTCCAAGACAAAAAATTCAAACATTCTACTCAACTGAGAAGTGTGATAGCCTTCTTTTATAAAACATCTTCGAACAAGAAAGGTATTTCCTTTTTCTACAAAATGTTAACTACTCCCACGACTGAGGTTAAACTTTCCTCGATAACATTGTGGGAAAAGGGATTGGGAGTCTCAGTACATCTTGAGCAGTGGTATCGCAGGATGGCCTGGTCTCTAAAGGCCTCTAGATGTCTATCTGATTGGGAATCCACCCAGAAGCTGCTGCACAATTGGTACTATACCCCACATAAGTTGGTCAAGTTTTTTCCAACCTCATCCCCACTATGTTGGCGTAATTGTGGTGGGACAGAATCACTTCACCATATTTGGTGGCACTGTCCTACACTTGCTCCATTCTGGGACTCAGTCTTTAAACTCATTAGTGACATCACTCATCTGAAATGCCCTGATAACCCCACAGATGGCCCTCCTCGGGATTGGTATACTGGACTGGCCCCCCTCATTGCGAGTGCTCATGACACATATACTCAGAGTAGCTAGACTAGTTATAGCTAGGCTGTGGAAACAGCAGACCATCCCAACCCTGTCAATGATGATTGACACACTTAACACACATATGCATTTTGAATTTCTGTTTGCCAGAGCTCATCTCAGGGAATAGAGACTGGGGCTGCTGGATGAATGACAAACGTTGTAGCTCTGGAATGGTGTGAAGGAATCATCTACCACAAGCGGGTCATGCTTGCACAGTACTCCTGAGGCAAATATGTCCTATTCAGTATCCTCTTCTTCCCATATGTATATGATCTCTGCACCACCTAGCCTTTGTCAGGTCCAATACGTTAAATTTGTAGTAAGTTAATAGTATAAATACTACCTTAACATTGTAATGCCAAGATTTGTTGTTATTATTTACTTTATCCCATGTTCTCCCCTTTCCCCTTAGAGTGTTACACCTTCCCCCCCTTTTTTTTTCTCCTCCCCGAAGCTATATGTCGTTTACTGACCCATGTACTATCACAGCTTTGTACGGCACGTGCACAATAACCGCTACTTTACCTCGCTATTATAATAGGTGCCTTAAATGTACTAATTTGTATTGTCACTAGAATTTTCAGGGCCCACTGGCTTTACATAACTGGCTTATGATACACCTATGCAAATATTGGTCTTTGGCCATGTTTTCTTCTGTTATTTTGTCCTCTGACACATTACATTGTATGGGTCTTGCAACTGTGGTTTTCATCACCTGTATTGTGCAAAATGTTGAATAAAAACTATGGTTAAAAAAAAAACAAACAATTGGTAATTAGAATTAGAACAGAATTAAAAACATCTAACATGAATGTTCTTATAATTATAGATCCCATGAAAATATCAGGAAGGCCTTCATATTCCCAGTGGTGCTATATCATTAATTCTACTTACCTATATAAGACACAGTACTCAGAAAAGCACACAATAACCTGAAATGTCAACATTTAGTGGGCAAATATTTACATGCTGCTTTCGGTAAGTAAAATATGAAAATTGACAAGGGATATAAGCTAAAATTTCAAAGCTTAAAAAAGAAACAGAGCACACTGAAATTATTTTAATTAAATACAATTAAAAATGCTCTTATACAGATATGACCAAGAATATCTTCCAAAGCAATGCCAGGTTACACAGGACTAATGCTAAAACACTCTCACACAATGGTTGGTATGTAATATGGAAATATTCATGAAACAAATTTCTGAATTTGAAAGCCAAAAATTCTGTGTTTAATAGTCAGAATTCTGACCTTCAGAATTCAGATTTTCAAACTCAAAATTTCATAGTAAGAATTCTGTTTTTAAAAGCCCAAATTCTGACTCTGCATTTCAGAATTCTGACTTTCAGACTCCAAATTCTGACTTTGAAACTCAGAATGTTAATTTTGAAACACAGAATTTTGTTTAAATAAAAATAACAAAATAGGAGAGTTACGTTAACAAAGTTTTACCACAAGGATAGGGGTCTTTATTTTAGACATTTGACTGGCTGAATATAACTGTCACTTTAAAAAAATTTATATTATCTGTATACTGGTGTTTTAGCAAATTAAACCTAGTGACAAAGCTTGGATATTAAAAGTATTGCTTTTAATTTTTTTAAAAAGCTCTTGAAAAATTATTTGCCATGCAATGCTTTATAACAGCATAATGTGTCACACTTTTTTTTCTTTATTGTATACAGACATTGAACAACTGCCAATTGTAAACACTTGAGAGTCTTTAACATTGTGCATCTAGTCATATATAACATGACATAACTCTCTTTTTAGTATCAATCAGCAAAGTGCAAAGTACAGTCCTTTGGGCAAAACCTATAGCTGATGTATTTCAGATTGCTCGCAATGGACACTAGCATTTTGCATAGCACTGTTTGTCTAAATAAATATGGCACAGGAAGCATTATTAGTAATTATTGTCAAAGACTGCTATCTGTCCTTACATTCTGCTTTTTTTTGCCCCTCCCCACCATTCAGGAGTCAGGACAAACCCTCTGCAAGATACATATTTACCCTGTCCTCAGATTATGGGTGAGAAAAATATGACCGTGACCACAGTAATCCTCTTTGAAGGGTTTCACATTCCGGAAAAAAATACATTTTTGGTCTTTTTGCTCTTTCTAATAATTTATTGCATAACACTATGTGGGAACCTCTTGATCATCACACTTGTGTCCTACAGCAAAACCCTCCAATCTCCCATGTACTTCTTCCTTGCTCAGCTTGCTGTATCAGATATCTTATTAACAACTGATGTTCTTCCTAACACACTCCATGCTGCTTTGGTGGAAAATACTATGATAGTATCAATTTCTGATTGTATTGCCCAGTTTTATTTTTTTGCTGCCACAGAAACACTGGAATGTCTTCTTCTGACAGTGATGTCTTATGACAGGTATTTGGCCATCTGTAAGCCATTGCATTATACCTTGTTAATGAATCACCAGCTTTGCTGGATAATGATCATCATATGCTGGACTTTAAGCTTTGTAACAGAATTTGTTCACACTTTAACCGTATCAAAATTACAATTTTGTAACTCCAATGTCATTGATCACTTTTTCTGTGATCTTGACCCGATTCTACAACTCTCCTGCTCAGATACAAGCATTGCTCAACTAGAAGCAACAGTACTGAGTGTCGTTTTTGCTATCATCCCATTCTTTGTCATCATTGTATCATATGTTTACATTATAGTCACCATTTTTGAAATCCCATCCATCACTGGGAGACAAAAAGTTTTCTCAACATGCAGCTCCCACCTGACTGTTGTGTCCATATTTTATGGTACCATTGTTTGTGTTTATTTGGTACCTAGTAGAGGACAGTCATGGAACATCACTAAATACCTGTCATTACTGTACACTGTAGTCATACCACTGCTGAATCCAATTATATACAGCCTGAGAAATAAGGACTTGAAAAAGGTTGCCGGAAAAACTATCAGAAAGTTTTTTTAAATGTCATTCCATTATTCATCAAAATGTACAAATGGTTTAAAGTTTATCTAAGGCCAAAACTTTTTTTATTAATGAAAACATGTAAACCCCGACAATGTTTTTATTGTACCGTGTGTCTCCACTAAAGAAATTAATTCTCTCTATTTGTCCAGGTGGCCCATTTGGGAAATCCAAAATTTTTCATTGTCAACAGACAATTTTCCAAATATTACAAATATTACAAATAACACTTGTAGGGATGACAACTTTCTAAGAGAGTATTTGCCTCTGCCTGGAAAGGCAGTGGTAAAAAAAAACCACATACCCAACTTTAATAGTGAGCTTCCACCCCCAACTGAGGAAGAACTAACAGTTAAAGGTGTCATGGCTCTGCCCTTTAAGCATGGTGCCTTGCCATCATATACAGAAAGCATTGAAAGGAAAGCAAAAGGAATAGGTGGAGCATTTTAAATCCACTGAAAGTTGACTGAAATATACTGTTTAAGTGCAAGTAAGGTTAGCTAGACCTTTGAAAGTTAAGCATGTTTGGTTGAACAAAGAGTATATACATTGTGCAGAACAATTTTTATGTGATCTTTATAATAAATACACATGTAAAGAAGCTATGGGATGCATCATTTACATGTATCCTTTTTTGTGTAGACTGCGCAAGGAAATGAACTGACCACCATATCTCCTAGCCAGTGATCAACATGAGAAGACTTAAAATGTAACTGCAATCCTATTCTTTGTCAGTCTAAAACTTACCTGTCCCCAATTTAGCGAGATATCAGGTGTGCAACTTGTCAGAACAGCACAAGTGCTTGGGGCCACTTATGCATTCTCACCTCATTTTTTAAAACCTATGCAAAGTTCACACTCCACCAGAGCTCAAAAGAGAATAGGAAGGTTCAATTGCAAGTCACTGCACCCCCTGTTGACTTGCAAGTACATTTGTGGTGTGAATGCACCCTAAATAGGTATTGCAATTTAGTTGAAAAGCAAGCAAATGAGTCAGTTGACATACTAGCAAGTGACTGCGTGACAACCTCATCTTTGACTTTCTGCTTCTAACTCTTGCAGCAATGCTGGCACTATTGTCCCTCTCATCTTTGAAGTATTCATGTTGCATTTGTAAGGATTCAAGATGTTATGAAACCCCAGAACATTTGTTATTTTCAGGGCTTTGTTCTCTGCTATCTTTCTTTTACAATACCATGCCTTCCATCTGTTTGAATTTTCTTTAGACATAAAAATGAAAAAGCATGACAAAAGCTATATACGCTCTACAGTACTCTGGTGTTTGTAATGTTTTCCAAGCACACACAAATGTACTGAGTTGGCTCTCACATCCATACACGAATGTGTTATGATAGTAATTTATAGGCAGTTGTTGTATAGGCAAACATTGTACAATTCCACAAACTTTAACGTTGAACAAAGTGTAGTCGAAGTTGACAATCGTAGAGCACACCAATTTGTCCTGAAAACAATTCATGAGTAATGGGTATTGTAGAATTATATATAATGTTATACTGTGCATTGTGTAGAGCAAAACAATTTGTCCTGATAAAAATCATCTCATGAATAGGGTATTAGCCTGGAAATGCCTCAGCAAGACCAAGGTTCTGGTCCACATGTTCAGTTGTCTGATGTAGTTCATGCCGGCATCATTCGGTTTAATTGAAAAACGCTTTATTTAAGACACCCTTTGTGAGTATCATTTTATTCAGTTTTTATCTCTGGACAAATAAACGTTTTTACACGAGAACAAGGAACCATTTCTCTTTTTTTGTTTTGCAAGTTATCTGAGGTTTCCCAACCTGATATGGTACAGCAGCCCCGTCCATATGAACATTGATGTCCACCATTGAATGTCCCCTTCGGCTGTTTGCTCTCCACCAAGTGCTGACTAATTAGAAAATTAGAGTAATGGTTATTTAAGAATTATATACAATGTGATGCTGTGCATTGTATAAATGGAATATTCTAAAGGTACACATATTCACGGTCTGCGACCGGGGCACACAAAATGACAAAGAGTAGAATGCAAAATATGGTGTCTGGGATGAAAACACAGGAAGTAGGTGTCTGTGCGTTAACGGGGCCCGCACTAGAGGCACAGAGTTCGACAGAGCCTCTAATGGTGAGGATGATTGGCTGCTGGACACCTTCGAGGTTGTGCACACCCACACACACATAAAGTTTAGTTGCAGCACCGTGCATACAACAGCAGGCAGGGTTGAAGCCTATACACAGACACACAAGAAGGTACAGGTGCAAGGACTCACTGAAGAAGCTGTTGATAAATCCACTGCAGGATGTACAGGATCTCACTGAGAGGAAAAGGGAATACAGAAACACAGGGAACAAGGTTGGTGGTAGCAAAAGCAGGGATTACAAAGGAAAAAGATCAACAGGAAGTAAAGACACGTTGCTTGAACGGCACGGAACAAGTGAGCTGGACTTTTATTGGAGAGGTTCGGAGTGGATTGGAGTGGATCATCACACAGGGAAGTGTGACAATACAGATATAGACTGCACACACTGTAAAACAAAGTGTGTTTAAAAAAACTATGTGGTTCTTATTTTAATGAATTTTTAATACAGTGACTTTATAGGATTTTGTTGTTTATATATATATGTATATATGGTTTGTGAGTGTGCCATGATGCCTGTCTGCTGTTCTACTGTTCAAAGCCCATTTCGTGTGCACCTTACTGTATAACTGGTAACAAATTGTTGAGTGCGTTTGTCGTTTGTTTTGCTTCCCTGAATACTGTCACGTACCTTAGGGGAGTCTGAATTGACGAGGGCGGCCTCTCTCACAGCTCCGGTCCCGGAGCACCTGAATTGGTCACAGGGGCGCCGGAGCACAGAGGGGCAAGGGTGCCAGAGGCTGGTTAGCCTGTTGCGTCTGCGAGATGATATGAAGTGCGTAGATCCGGTCAAGAAGGCTCTAGATCAGATGAGCTGAGGAAGCTGGAAGCAGAACACACAAGGCAGAAGGATCGTCAAGCAGGCCGAGGTCATCAATGAGCTAGCAACGTAGTACAAGGGGTGAGGCAGAATCAAGGTCAAAAACAAGCCGGGGTCTTCAGGGAGCAAGCAACAACAGAGGGTAGTCCAAGCCGGGTCAGTAACGGTTAATGACACCTCTGTGTGTGCAAACACGTGCATGACGCACACGTACGTGAGCATGCAGCGCACGACCACGCAAAGACGCCGCTCCTATTACGGCTCTATGGTCCGCAACAGGCGCCTGCGCATGCGCAGACGGTGACACTCGAACTCTGGCTCTGGCTTTCTGACAGATTCCATGCTATGTAGAAGGTTTGGGTAAGCATTTGGATCTAGTATAGGTTTGCAAGACATTAATTAGGTGTACAGGTAGACAGGGCCGGCCATTCAGAACCCCGCTTCTTCAGCACATACAGGCAGCGGGGATCTGAGAACAGTGGAACAGATATCAGACAAATCTTCAAAAAAGACTCACAGGCTTTCTTCGTTTTGAGGACAAGCTAAAGAAACTGCTTACATTGCTTTACTATGAACAAGGAATGTATATTCATTTTACTTTTATTACTCTTTAATTGGGATCAAGAAGAACTTCAAGTACATTTTACACTGGGCTTTTCCTATGTATAGTAGTAGAAAAGATGTCCTTGAGTTGGAAAAAGTCCAGCGGAAGGCAACCAAACTAATTAGGGGTATGGAGGACCAGAGCTACGAGACAAGGCTACTAAACTTAAACATGTTCACATTGGAGGTGAGGAGATTAAGGGGGGATATGATCTCCATGTACAAAATGTTCAATGGTGGTAGCAACATTAGCGATAAACTGTTTAAAATTAACTCCATTACAAAAACTAGAGGCCACCGCCTAAAATTGGTGGAAAAAAAATTCCAGCACAAGGGGCGAAGGGGGTTCTTCACAGTAAGATCAGTTAGGGTCTGGAACTCACTACCACAGGCGGGTGATTTCAGCAAATAATGTGGAATTGTTCAAGAAACTTTTGGACGATTTCTTAAGGGACCGTAATATCCAGGGGTACAGGTAATATCCAGGGGTACAAGTACTCATAAGAATGAGATCCTAATAGGTTGGACTTGATGGACTAATGTCTTTATTCAACCTCAAATACTATGTAATACTATGTAACATATTCCATTGTTAAACTTACTGATAACATGGTTATGAAATGTCGATGGAAAAGAAAAACAAATCTAAAAATAATTTCACAATTAACAGCAACAAATTGATCCCATGACAATGGGATCCCTGGGATAATATAAACCCTTCATACTCCCAGTGATTGCATGCAATTCATTTTACATAGTTATAAAAGCCGTAGTAGTCTTGAAAATAATTAGAAGGACATGTTGAAGCTTCATTTGGTTTTCATCCGCTGCATGGAATTGTTGTTGCTGTGGTTAGAGATCATTAGAGAATATTTACAATGCTTGGACTGAGGATACTATAACTCGTCTCAACCATAAAATTATTTTATTTTGTGCAAACCCATTTTCACAATTTTTTACTACTGAAGAATCTTTAGCATTATGAAGTCATTCCTAACAAGAAACAGTACTATGCAGTAGTGTGTGGATATTGATTGGCCACAGTTTTGCCCCCAATAATGATAAACTAATACACTAAATTAATTATAAGATCTTGTTGACTGTTGTGGGTAATTCTTCTATGCATAGCACGTCTCCTATTTGTTTTGTGTTTTTGCATTTTCCAATATTTTCTCCTTCTCTTCCTCCCACTACTAACCTTCCAAAGAAATTCTGTTGAAGTCATTTTGACAGGCTGGACAAACCAGTTAAAAAGTATTTATTCTGTCTTCAGGTTATGGATGAAAAAAATATGACCGTGATTACTGTAATTCGCCTTTTGGGGTTTCAGATTCCTCAATGTCTAACATTTTTTGTCTTCTTTCTTTTTCTTGTTATCTATTGTGTTATAATATGTGGAAACCTCCTTATCATCACACTGGTGTTCTACAGCAAAGCCCTCCACTCCCCCATGTACTTCTTCCTCTCTCAGTTGTCTATATCAGATATCTTATTGGCCACTGATGTTGTTCCTAACATGCTCCATGCTGTTTTACGTAATACTACTACTGTATCTGTTTCTGGCTGTCTCACCCAGTTTTATTTCTTTGCTGCCACAGAAACGTTGGAGTGTCTTCTTCTGACCGCCATGTCTTATGATAGATATTTGGCCATCTGTAAACCATTGCATTATACGTTATTAATGAATCACCAGTTTTGCTGGATAATAGTGGTCACAAGTTGGAGTTTAAGTTTCTCAGCGGTATTGATTTCCACTTTAACAATATCCACATTACAATTATGTGGTCCCAATATTATTAATCACTTTTTCTGTGATCTTGATCCCATCCTACAACTCTCTTGCTCTGATACCACCATCATTCAACTAGAATCAACATCTCTGAGTGCAATGTTTGCTGTAGTTCCATTCTTTATCATTGTTGTATCATATGTTTATATTATAGTCACTATTTTTGAAATCCCATCTATTACTGGGAGGCAGAAAGTTTTCTCAACATGTAGCTCCCACCTGACAGTTGTCTCCATTTTTTATGGCACCATTGTTTGTGTGTACTTGATACCTAGTAGAGGTCAGTCATGGGACATTACTAAATTCCTGTCATTACTGTACACTGTAGTAACCCCACTGCTGAATCCAATCATATACAGCCTGAAGAATAAAGACATCAAACAAGTTGTAGGAAAAATTATTAACAACTTTTTAAACTTACATTTCAAATCTCATGCAAATTTGCAGATAAGTTTATGAGGTTTTTTTTCTCAAATAATTATGGTCAGTGTGAAGCTGAAGTTGTGCAACTAAAACCTCTGTTATTAACGCATATTGTTAGACTTGGATTAAGCTTTTGGATTAGTTTTGGATTAAGCATGGAAATATTAGAACATCTTTTTGTTTTTTACTGTCATGCAGGGCAATTAGAAAGATTTCCCATTACTTCCTGTACTGTTGACAGCAGATTCACCAGATCAAGGGACTACCTGATTAAAAATCAGCAACAGGGACACAGACAAAAATATAAATTTAACAAAAAACTGTCAGTTTTAACCTTTCTCTACTCTATGCACACCTAAGAAAAAGAGTTGGCTGGACATACAGTCCATGTAAGTAAATATTAATTGATAATACAAGATTTGGGAAAATATTTTATATAGTTACATAGTATTAGAGGTTGAATAAAGACACAGGTCCATCAAGTTCAACCTTTGTGTGTCTGTATGTGATTCTGCATGTGTGTGTGTACAGGAGTCCCTGTGTTCTAGTTTTTAAGAGTACCTGTACCCCTGTATGTTATGGTCTCTGAGGAAGGTATTTAAATGCTTTTTGAATTATTCAAGGCTCTCTGCTGATACCACTTCTTGTGACAGCGGGTTCCAGACTTTAACCGCTCTAACTGAAAAAAAGCCCCTACGCCCCTTGTGGTTAAATCTTTTCTCCACCAGTTTTAGGTGGGGGCCTCTAGTCTTTGTTATGGAGTTTACTGTACAAAGTTTATTGCTGATGTTGCTATCCCCACTAAACATTTTGTACATCAAAATCATGTCCCCTCTTAGTCTCCTCACTTCTGAACACGTTTAAATTTAGTAGCCTTCTCTCATAGCTTTGGTCTTCCAGCATGACCCCCAGATCTTTTTCTATTTCTGACTTCCCTAGTGGAGTACCCATTAATATGTATTCCTCTTGCCTGTTTTTGACCCCAAAATGCATTACTTTACATTTTTCAACATTAAACCTCATGTAACCTTATCTAATGGAAAAACCTACCAAGGGTATTTTTTTTTTACCACATGCTATATTCATTGTAAAAAGTTTATTTATGTGAAAATGTGTGATTCAATCAATATATGGAGCCTAATAAAGTAAATCACTTAATTGTGTACATTTCTAAACAAAATACGTGGTTGTCTTACATAATGGCGATACTTTGGGGTTTTTTCAGGATACACAATTTTCCAATAGGGAAAAACTATTGGAAAAGCTAACATCTGTAACTAGCACATAGAAGGGGATCCTAATCTGACTCTCTGACAAGAGAGGCTGCACATTGTATATATCGGAATAGAACAAACAGAAAAAGTCCACTTTTGCCAAGTTAGTGAGCAATTTGTCACCTCATGGAGATGAGATGGCAGTTATATAACATTGTGCCTTTCGAGTTCTAAGGGCATGTGCAAGGGATTGTCTGCACTTATTCCCAAACTAAAACTCAAAAACAACGTATTTAATTTCCTCTTAAATAATTAATAGAATCTAAGCTTTTCCCACACTGGGCTCATGGTTTTGGGCTTCTTGATGTGTGTCAGAATTTAATCCCACCTCCATTCCACGTATTATCTCTCCCTCAGGGAATGTTGTCACTGCTTCCCAGGACATCATGGAAACATTTATGTCCTTCTATAGGGATCTGTACTCTTTCAGGGTCCAATAAAATGCAGTCGAAGTGGAGGATTACCTGTCTCAGATCTCCCTTCTATGCTTATCACTTCAGGCTAGAGAGACGTTAGATCTACCACTTACCACTGATGAGATAGAATTGGCAATCGCCCAGTTCCCTACCAGGAAGACCCCAGGCCTGGATGGCCTTGCAGTTAAGTGGTATGCCTCCTTTAGGAGGAACTGGGCCCCATTTATTAGCCACTTATAATGAAGCATTTGATCTGGGCATACTCCCTCCATCTATGTGGTAGGCCCTTATAGTTCTAAATCTGAAACCTTTTAAGGACCCGAGCAAATGTGATTCATATTGCCCTTTAAATAACATTCTTTAAATAACGTTGATGTGAAAACTTTGGCCATGATACCAGCATTACTTATTAACAGGCATGTCTTATCCCTCATTAATAGTGATCAAGCAAGCTTCATGCCAGGTCGTTCCACTAGAATGCATATTCACAAGCTTTTTACCAATCTTCAATTTTCTCACCTCACAACTGAGGGCAGGGCCTTGGTCTCACTGGATACCCATAAAGCCTTTGACAGTGTTGAGTGGCCATATCTGTTAAAAGTACTCCATACCTATGGGTTCGGTCCCCAAATGATTCAGTGGATTGAGATTTTATACAACTCTTCAGTGGCCAGATTGCAAATCAGTAAGGATGTGTCTGCCCCTTTCAGTATTTCTAGGGGGACTAGACAGGGATGGCCCCTCTCCCCTATTCTCCTTGCTTTGGCAATTGAGCCTCTGGCAATTCGGATACGGGAGTCTGACTCCTTATGTGGCTTGTTGGTGCAGGGTCTGGAGGAGCGGGTTTTCTTATATGCTGATGATATGCTGATTTATCTATCTGACCCTAATTACTCCCTAGCTTGCTCCAGCTACTAGACCTGTTTGGGACCTTTTCAGGGTTTAAAGTTAACTGGGACAAATCTGTATTTTTTCCTTTGGATGATTCTACTGTGGCTAATATACATTAGGTATAATGTATACTGGTATTAAGATCCAGCTGCCCTTCTCTTATATTGATAATCATTTAACCCCTGTAATTGACTCTCTTCATTTGAAGACTAAACAATGGATGGATTTATCCCTGGATCTTATGGGGTGAGCCAATATCATTTAGATGAACTTTCTACCCAAACTTCTGTACAGCCTAACAAATTCTCCATGCTAAATCCCAAAAAGATATTTTTGTAAAATTGATTCTATTTGAGTTATGTTTCTTTGAAGGGGTCGCACTCCCCAAGTGGCTCTGGAGGTGCTGCAGCTTCCGCATTCCATGGCAGGTTTGGCCTTCCCTAACTTTCATGCTTACTATCTGGCATCCCAGCTGGTGGGGGTTCATGACTGGCTAATCCCCCAGATGGGGAATACCTGTACAGCAACTGAAGCTGCCTTAGTGACCTCCTTCGAATCTCTCCAAAATGTTGTGTTTAGGTGGATCACTAGCTCACACCCTGGCACTGTCCTTATATCAGTGACCTTTCGCATATTTCTCTATGTTCTTAATTGGTTACCCATACCTTCCTGGTCCCATTCTCCCTACTCTCCCGTATGAAGAAATCCTTCTTTCCCGGAGCTGCAGCACCTACCATCCTCGAAGGGCATTAAACCTCTGTCTCATTTGTTTTGCAATGGGGTGATGCTTGGTTTCCCACAGCTCAAGGAGGAGCTACGTCTCTCCCCGTCTGATTTTTTTGCCTACTTTTAACTACTGAACACGGTCCGAGCCCAATTTGGGTAGACCTCCTTTATACCTACTCAGTCTTTCCTGGAGGAGATGTTGCGCAGGAATAGTTCCTCTACATTGATTTCAACCTACTATATGGAACTTGTGTCCCACAGGTCCGGTAGATTTAACAGCTGTAGACAGAAGTGACAATCACTTCTCCCAGACCTGGTGGAGTATGATTGAAGTGATTTTGGAGATAGATACATGTCCCCCGTGAAAGCCTCTAAAGACTTTATCAAAATAGAGAACTCCTTCTCTATTATATACAATGGGTCTCCGACCCAACTCACGTTGATTTAAGCGCTGTGGTCATGAGGCTGATTTCCTCCACTCCTTTTGATCATGCCCACGCATACCGGCCTTTTGGTCTGAGGTTACTTCCTTCAAGGAGTCTAGCCTTAGTTCCCCAACATAGTCAACCCTGCGTTTTGGCTCCTGGGTCTGTTTGGTGAGCTGACATTAGCCTCGGGATCTCAGACACTACTCCGCCTGCTTTTATTTTATGCCAGAAGGGCTATTCTACTAGTCTGGGGTAGGCCTAAGGTTCCCTCCCTGGGCAACTGGAAGTGATTGGTTGATCAAGCATTGCCCCTCTGTAAACTTACATATGCGCAGTCGGGCAACCCGCTCCACTTTGCTTGCATTTGGGACCCCTGGATCTTTTCTTGTAATACCACTGTAGATTTCATTTAAATGCACCTACTGCTTTGTGTTGTACTGGAGTTGTTGATCCTCTCTCACATTCCCTAAGTGTGCTACACCCAATTTATATGTCTGATAATACATCTGTGTTGAACCTGTGTTCTGCCTGTGGATTCTCTACTCCGCTCTGGAGTCTATAAGCATGTATGTTGTATGACAATTGTCTCTGGGTTATGTTGACCCGGTTGTTTGTGTTTTTTTTCTGTGTGTAAATTATATAACATTTGATAACACCAATAAAAAGCATCTTTAAAAAAAAAAAGTTTGAGGCGTCTGGCACGTCTATGGACGAAGAGCGTTGTCCTACTGTCATACGGGACTACATACAAGCCTCTGGGGTTCCATGCCTCTCAAAAGGGGCGGTCGCCAGCCTTGCGTTACCATTTACCGTAATGGAACTGGCTGGGGTCATAAAATCTCTCCCTATGGGAAAGAGCCCTGGCCCAGATGGCTACACTGGGGTTTTTTACAAGACCTTCCAGGAATCCCTCTCACCTATTTTGCTGGATACCTTCAACATGGTCTCTAACTCTACTCCGTTCCCTACACAATCCCAAGAAGCCCACATTACAGTGCTTCCCAAGCCAGACAAAGACCCAGCGTCTTGTGCTAGTTATAGACCCATCTCCCTTATTAACATAGACATAAAAATGTTCGCTAAGCTAATCACCAATCGGTTGAAACTGTATGTTCCGTCCCTAATTCATCTGGACCAGGTGGGTTTTGTGGCTTCCAGGGAAGCGAGGGATAATACAACCAAGTCCCTCGCACTTATGCATTATGCCACTGCAAGGAAAATCCCCCTATGCCTGCTGTCAGTTGATGCCGAGAAGCCTTTCTACCATCTTAGCTGGTCTTTTTTGGAGGCGGCCCTTTCCC